CAGTCAAGTAGAAACAGTCAAAATATTTTATCAGATTTTCTCAATTTTTGCATGATATTTTCATACAGGACATCTGTTGTTCAAACTCAGGGAAGACTTTATACTGATGAATAAGGTGACCAAGTTTGATAAAGTTTGGAATAGAATTAGTAAAGTTATTATGCACACAATAACAATTATTAACGATGACGACAACGACAACGACGACGACGACAACGCCGGACAAAATTTTTCCCTTAATATACCTTTCCCTTCCATCTTTGATGGTACGGGCAAGGTAATAAAAATGTTGCCCCCAGGTCATGCCACCTGTTGGCATGGACAACGAGAGACAAAATTCACACGAATGCAATTTTGCTTCATATTTATTGAATTTGTGTTTGAATATCTTAATTTTACCCTACTCTCTCTGAGAAGAGTACCATTCTCTTTACTTACAGGCTCAGATAGTCTTCCAGACTATAGTCATCATAAACTACTATAAAATTGGTTAACTGGCATCTTATGGGATTGTACCCGGTTACCTAATAACTGAAGACTGGTCTCCTAAGCAGTGCTAAGCCTGTAAAAGAACCACCATAGCCTTGTCAATGATGTTTGGCCAAGCATTATCCTCAGCTCAAAGCCAGTGTGATATTCAGACGTCTTAATTGGTATTCTAGGGTCAAGTTTTGACAGGTCAAACATCAATTACTCAATCAGAAAACAAATGAACAACGTTTACTAAATATTTTGAGGAACTAGGTATTAAAGCGGCAATAGCTGTAACGATCTTTTTTTCTCTCCAATTTTCAATAAAAATTTTCTTTGTCATTATCAATTTGTAATGGCCATTGTCGAAATGTGGACAATGAAAGCATAGCATATTCACTATACAGGGCTCATACCACTAATTGAATTTCCATAGACGACAATGTTAACATATGACGAGATTGCTATATGAAAATGACGAAGAAAGTTGAAAATATGGCTCAAAAATGGGAAATCAACATGCCAGTAATCAACCATATGAAAAAAACTAACATGTTGGCCAGCTCAAACTCTTGCAAATCTCAGGTAAACAAGACACACCTACTGTATTTGGATTGCACCAAGAGAAATCACTGGAAAAACACCAAGATTAGAACATCCATTAACAGACAAAATAAACCCACAGGTACACAGCCGCTAAGTAGTAAACAAAAGACCACATGTTGGTCTCACCTCTGACCCAGGTGATTACGCCCTCAAACAGGGAGCACCTGAGAAAAATAATATTTAAAAAAATTTCATTGGTTCTTGCTGGGCATTTAAATTGAGGGCTACGAGCAGCCATTGGTTAATTAGTGGCATGAGACCTACATCAATGCTGTAAGTCAGTAAAAAAAAATGGCTGCTTGGTTACATACATGTCTCCAGAGGGCGCAATCTATTGAAATCCATTTTTTTTGTCGTCAATCGAATCTTGGGAACTATGGTACAAGGTGACACACATCAAATACACCACCATCTTGAGAGGCCAAGTCTCTGATGATTTTGTGCCACTTTCCGTAATATGGTGTACCACTAGTCATATTTTGGTCCCCATCACATGGCCAATTTTAACAATGGTGACTACTCAATCATTAGTTTTTACATCGCATTTTACGTGATATAGTCTTGTGTAAGGTAACTTTCATCCATGCAATTGTGTCTAAAACATTATTTCAGTGAGATTTTGTTATCTTTATGTTATTATATTTAAACAAAAATCACAGGTATTGATTCAAAAATCACAGGTACCAATGATGAATTGTTAATTTCAATTTTTTTAGATATTTCACAGATTAGTTATGCAAATACATTTTTTTTTTTATCTGGAGTTTGTAAACAAGATCATGAAAAAGTTGAGAAAATCTTGCTCGTTTTAATCATAGCTCACTTACCTTAACAAGAAAGACAGTGCTACAATAACTTAATAATTCACTCAAGCTTTGACTTTTTTATTACAAAATGTTGAGACAATATTGCATTTGCTGCTTTCAAATACATAACGGATTTAGAATTGAAAAAATATGGAAGTTGGAAATGAAGCCTTATAAAAAATGATCACTGCTTTGGTTTCAACAGAGGGTGTGTTTAACTTTGAGACACATATTTATACTATATACAATAATAGAACAGACAATAAATTGAAGAAAGAAAAGTAATATGAAAGCATGTAACCAGTAGAATTCAAGATGGATGGAAGTATACTATATAAAAAGGTTTGGAAAAGCACATAATTAGTGAAAATCTCGTTGGTATGCATACAAAAGAACCAATCACATGCACAGAAATAATTGGTCGAATAGAATTGTGTAAATCACATGTTAAAACATGAATAGATTGTTGGACTGATGCCAGAACACATGAAGTAACATTTGTTGAATAGCTAAATGCCAGGTCACATGAATTAACATTTGTTGATTAGCTAAAAGCCAGGCCATGTGAACTAACATTTGTTGATTAGCTAAAAGCCAGGCCATGTGAACTAACATTTGTTGATTAGCTAAAAGCCAGGCCATGTGAACTAACATTTGTTGATTAGCTAAAAGCCAGGCCATGTGAACTAACATTTGTTGATTAGCTAAATGCCAGGTCACATAAATTAACATTTGTTGATTAGCTAAATGTCAGGTCACATGAATTAACATTTGTTGATTAGCTAAATGCCAGGTCACATGAATTAACATTTGTTGATTAGCTAAAAGCCAGGCCATGTGAACTAACATTTGTTGATTAGCTAAAAGCCAGGCCATGTGAACTAACATTTGTTGATTAGCTAAATGCCAGGTCACATAAATTAACATATGTTGATTAGCTAAATGTCAGGTCACATGAATTAACATTTGTTGATTAGCTAAATGTCAGGTCACATGAATTAACATTTGTTGAATAGATGAATGCCAGGCCACATGAAATAACATTTGTTGAATAGCTAAATGTCAGGTCACATGAATTAACATTTGTTAATTAGCTAAATGCCAGGTCACATGAATTAACATTTGTTGATTAGCTAAATGCCAGGTCACATGAATTAACATTTGTTGATTAGCTAAATGCCAGATCACATGAATTAACATTTGTTGATTAGCTAAATGTCAGGTCACATGAATTAACATTTGTTGATTAGCTAAATGCCAGGTCACATGAAATAACATTACACAACATTCATATCATTGAACATTTGTTAATTACAGACCATGGGTAAATATCACATCACATTTATGGCGTCTATCCATCAATGTTAACCAACCTATGGCTAGTATTGATTTATTGATCAAAATATTAAATGTATTGTCAATGTCACTGTCACTGTAGAATTTTAGTTGCTTCACAAAGTTGATTAGTCTGTTGATTCTTGAGTAGAATTTGAGTAGTACAGGATGGAGCTTAAATTTTGGCAAACAAGTTCAAGATCATGCATCTAAGCTTTGATTATAAAGGGGCCTGGAGCAGTATCTTTGTTTATATTTAATATTACATTTATGGTACATGTTGGGCAAGATGTACAGGCTATGTACAGGCTAGGCAGTGCAGCTGAAAAGTTATTGGTCAAATCAAGTTTCATTTCTAGCTCCCTGGCCACCAGGCCTGAGAACTATCATATTTGCTCTATTAGTAGCACATGAGCTTACGTAAATTACAAAGTTGTTTCTATGGTAAAAATAGGTAATATTTTAATGATTCAGTATACAAACAATTTTGTTTTGTATGAGGTTCTAATAGAGCAAATATGGTACATGTTTTATTCAGTTGGTGCATCAATGTTTATTTTAAATGGGTGAAAATATACTCAAAATAGCCCAACAACGTAATGGCCCCTTAAATAAAAACACTGCCTGGATAGTTTTATTTCCCTGGTAAGTCAGCAATCTAGGACGATCTATAAAAAGGCATGTATTATGTGCAGCATTTTATCCCCACATAGAAACAAATTGCAATTCAGAGATCATTATGAAACAAACAAGAAATATGATAAATGATTAATTTGCAATTCATTGTTTTTCCACTGGACTTCGATTTCATGAAACAAAGACAATACCTGTACCAGTACAGTAGGGAGTCTCATTTAATATTATGTTAGACCTGTGTTTTAAAAGATCGTTTTTGATGGAATAAAATAAATAATTTAATGAATCCATTATTTACATCACACAGTACTAGTCATTTCATTTGTTGTCACCATGACAACCTGTGTCCCTCTATGTAAAATGCCAAACAAATCAAACAGGACAAGAATTTCTAGGTGAGGGAAGATACAAGGTATTTACAGCGCCCTTTGAGCAAAATGCAAAATAAAAAACAAAGTTACACTGAACTCCCTAGCTAATTGTTAAATGTGACAGTGGAAACAAAAAACCTCATACATCATCTCCACCGAACCCTGAGCTTTAGCGTAGAAACAAAAAATATATTTTAAGTCGGAATGATTAAAAGTTACTAAATTCAGAAATTTCTTTGATATATAAAAGAAAGAATTAAGATTGCATAGACACGAAGTGCAGTGTTGCCAACAAATATTCTGCTTAATGCAGAATTGTTATTATGAAGAAAACCTGCCACCCAAAACAGCAGCAACTATTGTCTCAGTATAAAGTTTATCAAGTAAATTGTAGTAGATCTTTTGTAAAAAAAAAAAATCAATCACCCAAGCATAAAAGTCCAATGTGACAGTTCTATAATGGTTGTCAACGACCATGTGTTCCTTGATGGTTACAACAGCGTATCAGCAAGAATGTAAGTAGAGGATCTAGCAATGCATCATGGGAGTTCATAATTTATCCGAGCAGAAGATTAGCCTTCGCTCGTTCAGTTAGTCTCCTGACTCGACCACGACTAGACAGGCTAACAGTTGCATCGTCCTGTAAAGATGTATCATTACAACTCTTGTGTGAGTGTGTATCACTGTCTTCAGACTCAGAATTACGGTAAAGAACCGTTCGTTTGCCTTGATTTCGTGTCCTTATTCTTGGTGAATGTGCATGAACATCATCATCATCATCATAGTCACTAGAATTCATACGGTTCCTATTTGATTTTTTAGTTTGTTTCTTTGAATAGTTCCTTTGTGACGCAGATTTACAAGGTTTTTGTTTTATTTTCCTCCTGGTTCTATCATCTGATGAGTTTTCACTGTCAGAAGAATTCCCCCCCGACGATCCTGACGATGAACTGGACGATGAACTAGATGATCCAGAAGACGATGATTCAGACGATGAAGATGATGACGACGACGATGACTTATTACTCTTACTGTCACTATCACTGCTATCACTCTCTTCATCATTTTTAGTTCCTCTTGTATTGTATCTCTTTGCATGCCCGTTTGTTAAATTATTTCTTCTGGATACTAAATATAAAATTTAATGCAGTATGAACATAGTGAAACAATTTGTGTTGCATGGAAAGGACAGCATATAAATAGATACTATATTTACTCTAGCAATTCATTTTATATTACATATGTCATATTTTATATTTTTTCGCAGGAAACTGATTTGCATGTATCAATCAGAAAGTGCAGGTTAGTACAACTGAATGATTAGTTCAGAATGGATTGTCATTCAATAATTGTACACAAAACTTTTGGCACAATTTTGATGCATTTTTGCCAAGTTAATAAATATACAGTCAATATACCTTGTTTTCATTTCTGTTGCAATATCTACACCAACAATGATTTTTTCAAATAATCAATATCTATTGAATATGAACATTTTGACATGATCTGTTGACGCTGTGAAAGGCATTAAAAAAGTCACTATTTTTTTTTAGTCAAAATCAGTACGCGCTAACAATTCCTATTTTAACATCTTAACTTAAGGTCAGCGGACACTGTTTTACATCAAATTGTGCAAAAAAATATAATTGCTTTGCATCAAGAGTTTAAATATGATCGAAAACACTCCAGGACGACTCTCCTCTTACAGACCCTAATAATTTTTACACCGTAAAATCAGATGATATGTAAAGCCTGCACAGTGAATATAAATTTGTTTGAGGGGGTAACATGGTTACAATGTTGAACAAAAAGCGAGGTGGTCCTCGGTATACACCCACCCCTACTTTCCCAGATTTTACATGTTGAGGGGTCCTAAATATTGTAAATATGTTACTTATTGATAGAAACATGCAACGGTTTGTGAAACGGTGCGATTCAGTTGATGAATGGTACTATATTGTTCTAAAACCAGAGAATACAGTGAATTGGCTCAATGCACGAGTTGATGTAAAGTGCCAACAATCTCATTAAAAGAATAAATCAGGTACACCTTGAATTAGCAACAATACATGTCAGGTAAAGTAACACAGTAGCTACTAAAAAATACTTTACAGTATACAAGACTCACCTGACTTGGGTTTGATTGTTTTCTTGGCAGGTTTTCTAAGTGGTTTGGTTGTTGATGTACTCTCAATCTCACTCTCATCTTCTGAACTCTCATCTTCTGATACTTCACATTTCTTCTGGGATTTTTTAGTTGCTTTACCTGGACCTGCAAATAAATGAATAGAGCCAAGCAAGGGATGGTTAGCTAGAATCAAGTGACAATCACCTGAATACATTGAGCTAATCAAGTGAAAATCACCTGAATTTACTGAGCAAATCAAGTGAAAATCACCTGAATTCATTGAGCTAATCAAGTGACAGTCACCTCAATTCATTGAGCCAATCAAGTGACAGTCACCTGAATTCATTGAGCCAATCAAGTGACAGTCACCTGAATTCATTGAGCCAATTAAGTGAGTCACCTGAATTCATTGAGCCAATAAAGTGACAGTCACCTGAATTCATTGAGCCAATAAAGTGACAGTCACCTGAATTCATTGAGCCAATAAAGTGACAGTCACCTGAATTCATTGAGCCAATAAAGTGACAGTCACCTGAATTCATTGAGCTAATCAAGTGACAGTCACCTGAATCCATTGAGCTAATCAAGTGAGTCACCTGAATTCATTGTGCTAATCAAGTGAGTCACCTGAATTCATTGTGCTAATCAAGTGAGTCACCTGAATTCATTGTGCTAATCAAGTGAGTCACCTGAATTCATTGAGCTAATCAAGTGAGTCACCTGAATTCATTGAGCTAATCAAGTGAGTCACCTGAATTCATTGAGCTAATCAAGTGAGTCACCTGAATTCATTGAACTAATCAAGTGAGTCACCTGAATTCATTGAACTAATCAAGTGAGTCACCTGAATTCATTGAGCTAATCAAGTGAGTCACCTGAATTCATTTGAACTAATCAAGTGAGTCACCTGAATTTATTGAGCTAATAAAATGAGTCACCCGAATTCATTGCGCTAATCAAGTGAGCCACCTGAATTCATTGAGCTAATCAAGTGACAGTCACCTGAATTCATTGAGCTAATCAAGTGACAGTCACCTGAATTTATTGAGCTAATCAAGTGACAGTCACCTGAATTCATTGAGCTAATCAAGTGACAGTCACCTGAATTCATTGAGCTAATCAAGTGACAGTCACCTGAATTCATTGACAGTTATCGAGCCAATGACTGACTTCAGTTTTATAATTATAGTTCTTGACACCCCCCAAATAAACTAAGATATGATGCGATAACTCATTGTTGTAATGTAGTAATAACTTTGTGTTTCTCTCTGCTCCCAAGTGAAAAGCTAATTGATCAAATTGTTGTAACAATTCAATTGATAATATCCATCATATATACATTTGTAACATACCAGGTGTTTTTTTCTTTAAAACTGGTTTAGCTGTCTTTCTGGCAGTAATCTTTTTAGTCTCTTCTGGCTTAACTTTAGACTCTTTTTTCACACAATTTTTGGATGAAGGTCCTGGTTCTTCAGTTTCCTCCTCAGTGTCATCTTTTTCAGTATCATCATTATTGCTATCACTATTTTCAGTATCAGTATCATCATCATCATCACTATGGTTACCATGCGTAATAGATGCTGAAGTGGACGGTTGATGAATGCTCTTTCTGGCAGTGCTACTTGTAGAAGAACAAGTTTTACTAGTGGAAGGCACACTATCGGACTTTTTTTGTGGCCGAACAGTTTTTCTGTTAGTGAAGCTGAGAAAGAAAGACAACCATTGAATAAGAATTCATTGGTTTTGAATAATGAAAAGATTGTATTAGTGAGACAGATAAGAGGAAAGAAAGGAGAAGAAACAGAATGAGGACAGAATGTAGCACCAGATGAATGATAATTAGGAATAAAACCAAGTCATGACTGTTTTTAGATTTGTTGTTGAATGTCAATTAGTATTTAGTATTCTTTAATCAAGGTATTTCCACAATCACTTTTTATGAAAACAGGTTACCATTGAACCACAAATATAATAAAATCATGATATTACAGTCTATTATCACATGACCTAAATATTAGCCGAAAAAAACTGTACCATATTTTCTCTATTAGAAACGGATCTTCAATAGAAACACAAATAAACCAAATATGCACTACTAATGGAGCCAATATGGTATTATAATTAACAGCAGTTCTTTAAAAACAAAATCCTAAAATTTCTCATCATGTGATAGTACAGAGTGTTGAGGAGAACCCTATCCCGGAATAGGTCTGATTTAGTTTTGGGTTTAAGCTGAGTAGTTATAGAAATGATACACCTGGCAGCAAACCTCTACATACCGATAATAAATATTTTTCTTTTGTCTTTCTTCATACTTCACAGATGACTTGTGGTCCTTCACAATTGGTTTGATATGTTCTTCAAACATTGCTGACGACCGCAACGTCATTGCATAAATCTACAAATAAGTTAAGATGTTCAGTTTTTAGAAGTAAAATTATGTTTTCTGAACAAGAACACTGCTTTTCTTATCATCGTAGTTGTGATAAAATAACATTGATGATGCATGCAGAAAATTAGATGTTTTTATTACATGACTTTACTTTCACACAAATACATATACAGGTGTATTTTGAGTTGAATGACAGCGCTTTTATGGACCATTGTCAAAGACGTTTTTCGCAACATTTGGTCATAAATCTCTGTTGAATATTGTCACTAGCTGATACTGTTGAAGCTGGTTTGGAGATTAAACTTTACAAGAGACATAAACAAACACCCCAACCAGAATATCGGCTTTCAGCCAGAGCACGCAAGATTAGTGGTCCGATGCTGTGTGGGCAAATGTTCTCAGTCAAACAGAAATTCTTTACACAATTTGAATTGTGCCAACTCAATCATAATGATCCAGCAGATCTTCATGGTGAGTACAACCAAGTTTAATCCATCTATTCACATATATAGTATTCTAAATTATATTTAATCAGTTTCATAAATAATTTGTATGTAGTTTTATGCCTTTTTCATTTGGAAAATGTTACAAGAATGTAAAATAATTAACATCTAGAACCACCAAGATATTATCATGCAAATACAGATAATCATACTTACTCTTGATTTTTTATTGGGAGTATAGTTTCTTGCATTGTTAAATATTAACCTAATATCTCTGCAGAGTTCCATTGGATTCTCATAATATCCAGTCAAAAATTGTTCTTTAACAGACGTCAAATCCATCGGTGTATCAATAATATCACGATAATCCTGCAACAATTACGTGACAAAGTGTAATCCATTCAAGTAAAACCAGTGTAAACGTGATACTTGTCCAAACCCCAGGTCCTTGATTACAGACTAAGAATGTTATTGGGCTTTCAGGATTCTCTTATTATAAGAATGTTAGTGATGCAAGGAACAATTCAATCCTTTTCTCTAATTTATTCAATGCTTATTAAAGTCAACTTTATTCCGCTTTCACAAAATAAACCTGAGTAATTATTGCATATTTTCCAAAAATTTTCAAATAAAGAAATTAAAGAATTGATTCTTGTCATTCAACTACAAATTTTTTGTTGCAATTTTAGGCTGTTATCTGCCATCAAGTTATCACTGTAAGCAGGAAAATAGTGGGTTTAAATTTCACTGATTTACCATTTTAGGCATATTCAGTGGGTTTTAAATTCACGGTTTCGTCATTTAGATAATGTGTTCTATGCTAAATTTTACTTATTCACTTGGTTTTAATTTAGCGCATTTTCCAGTCAGCGAAATAAGCTAAATTAAAACCCAGTGAATAATTACCCCCTTTACAGTATTATGAGAATAACACAAAGTATTCACTCAGGCTGTATAGAGTTGCACCAACTTCTGCTACACATCAGCTGATACGATCACAGTACTGCCTTTGTGCATACTTTGCCGTATTCTCATGATAACTTTAATGTCACTCATTATATAAATGCAATAGTTTTGGAGAAAGAAAAAGTGTTCCTTAATGAACGCTTTATTTCTACATTGTTTTCTATGGGATTACTTACTGGATATTCTAGTAAATCTACAGGATGACGGAAAGGTTGAGAATCTTCACATTCAAATAAAATTTGTAGTAATCTTTTACACTGGTCTATCCATGCTTTAGCATCATAAATTGGATGCTCCATCTTTAATCGTTTCCGTGCCAACTCCTCTGTCTCATCATCACTGTCCTGAAAATAATAACTCACTTCTTTAATAGTGTTTATTTACAAAAATTCACGATTTATCCAAAATAAAATTATCAAACATCTGACTTGTTTTACTGCTCATTGTTTATTTCATAACACCTCATAATGATAAAACTTTACCCTTAATCTTTTTCTTTCAAGATTACAGAGTGATGATACTTGTGTTGTTGTTTCTTCTTCTCCAGACTCCTCTTCTACATTAACGTCTACAACTTCTAAGTCTTCACCATCTGTGATTTCATCGTATACTGTCTTAATATCATCACATGTTTCATCCCTGTAACAAGCAGCACAACATCATTTTATTGGATGCAAAATTATGGAAATGAACATTATACATTGATGCGAAAACAAATTATTTTACATTACTTGTTTAAATTTTTAAACCATGTAAACAGAATCGAAACGTCTTGATGAACATGCATTTGAAAAAAAAAATTAAGACAATGTACCGTAAAATTCCTAATTGAGGCCGCGGCTTTGATTAAAATTCATTTTTTCAATGGACGAATTCAGATGCGTGAAGTCTTAGTGCGGCTTTAATTAGAGCATTCACTTCGGTAACAGTGGGAAATTTTTTCAAACAACAAAGGCCAGAAGGGATAATGATATGCTAATGAGATGCACAACACTCGATTGCAACTTTGTTGCGATTCTAAGGCACTTTCGGATTTTTACACACAGACAAACTTGTACACAAACGAAATTTCACACTGTATACTGCACAATGAATAATATCTACAAATAGATTTGTATGCATTTGCAGATTACGGTACTGTATGCTACAATCTCTTGAATAGACTAATTCGCTAGCACCGGTATAGGTCACAACTGAGAGACAGCCGTCTGACACTGTCGATTGCGGCATGTTCGACTTCCGGCAGAGTGACTGTACATTCCTTGTTTAATTTAGACATCGGGGAAATAAAAATAAAAAAAGTCAATCCAAAAAAAAAATACTCAGTATATTATTTAATGTAATTTATATTTATTTTCTTATTTTTTTGGATAACGAAAAGTATATTCTAAAAGAAGTCAAAAACAAAAACGAATGCATTCTTAGTAGCAAATGATCACAGTAACAGTCATGCTGCATTTCACACAAGTGAGTAACTTACTTGTTTTCGAAGTGTTACAATTGCTGATTATTACTCAGTAGTGATTACAATAACGTACAAAAAATAAATTCGTTGAATTGTTGTGAAAATTCAACTTAGTTTCACCGCAAGCGAATGATTTCAGTCACATATAAACGCTCGATCCGATACGATATCCGCCATGTTTGTTCAAAAATCTTTATTAGTGACTTGAAACTGTTTTGTTGACCTGATAGGTCGCTAATTAACCAATCGAAACGCTGGATGGTGCCAACGTGATTAAATTACCATAACTCATTTAAATATGTTAATCAGCGTCCTCATGGTAAAGGAAACACGGAAGAGATTTACTGTTGTTGTAGTGCAATCGTTTGGCTTTGATTTTGATGGGAAAACGGCATGATTTTTTTTAAATCAAGAAATTAGTTGTTTTCGAACCATAAGCTGAGCATTGAAGAAGAATTTAACACTTTTGACGATAATAACAGCTCATTGTCGAAACGCAGTTTACCCAGTCACGCTACCCACAATAAACCTGTACTCTGGAATAAGCATCAATGACTACGGAAAACCTTAATTAGACTCTAATCTAAGCGTCAGGAATCACTGAAATGTTCAAAAAATTATGCCTTAATTTAAAATTAAATGGTACATCTTTTTCTGAAATATGTGGTGGGGGCTGTTTGGTTTGTGAAAGTTTGGGGTGCGGCTTATATTGCAGACTTCTTCCTGGGATCAAAACTTGTCAAATTCAACATGAAACAATGTCTCAAGTTAGGGGTGTGGCTTCTATTAAAGCTGCGGCCTCAAATATGATTTTTACGGTATTTCATAACTGATGTGCATTTCTCATGATATATATATTAATACAAAGTAAATACAATTAGTCAAGACATGTTGCAGGTAATACTCTTGCAAATCTTCTCGGGATATACACAGGGTGAACCGAATATGTTCATTCATGCCAGATCCAGGTGTCTCCAGTCAGCGATTACAGCAAGTCTCAGAAGTATTGGGGCAGCCAATTTGCAAACTCACTAGGGAATTGGGTAACTGCTTTGGTTTTGACTGAACGGTTGGCTTTTGAATCTCGCTGACACAAATGTGTGACTTCTGAATGTGATCGGTTCGAGCAAGTCTGAATCTGAGAGCAAATAAACAAATATAATGGTGGCGAACGATGAAAATTTTGTCTGACAGGGACTAACAAAAAAGACTCTAGAGTTGTAGTATTCTAGAGGAATAGAAATAGAAGGAACCCCCACATGATATTAAATATTTTGTACTTACTTGGCAAATGATGTCAGTATATTGTTAACCATTCTTGCCCATTTCACTATTTGACTTTCTTTTTCATTAAACGTCATCGCGTTTGTTTCCACGAGTCGTATTTCCCAAAACAAGGATGATCTCCGCCTGAACAATGAAAGATGAAAATATTTTGTAATGTCAGTACAATACAGTAAACGATGAAGACATACTTTGCTAAAGTTATAGTCTTTATTTATCAATTATTATAAACAAAATTGAGAATTATTAATCAAGTTTTACCCTAATGAAATATTATTTATATTATTAAATGTTATTATGAAATATATTTATGAAACTTTGACGAAGTTAGTATATGTGACATGTTGAATATTCATCCTTAAATTTCGAGTTTTCAGCCTTAAAAATATTGCTTTAATATCGACTCACAGTGAAATATTAGTTTCTAAAAGCTCAAACTTCTGCTCTGGTTGTACAAAAGGAAAAATGGTAACAAGAATTGAGTATGCAAATGCAAATCCATATCCATGGTTTTGACATTCAATATTTAATTAAATTTTTTACGTGAGACATGATATCAAAATTTCATTCATAGTAAGTGTAATTCTTGCCTAAAAATTGATTAGAAATGGCTGTCTGCCACAGGGTAATATAAAAACAAAGTTGTCATCTTCATAATCTTCTTTCAATCAGAACAAATAAATACATCTGGAAATGTGTAATATACTAGCACGACACATAAATCTATAGTAGGATGGTTTACCTATAAAATCTGTTTTCTAATCTAGTTTTAATATCATGTAGATTAGTAGGATATCCGACAACCATAGCATACATAGGATATACACTAAGATCAACAGGGTAATTAAAAGGTACTGCTATCCTCTTTTCCATCAACCACTCAATTCCTTTTATAATGCGTTCACAATCACTGTCTCTTCCTTCCGTGCACCACTCTCCATCGGTTGGTACATATAACATTTGGAGGAGTTCTTCATGGTGGATTGGCGTACTACCACCTTCAACGTCGGGCATATCTACAGAAGAAGAGAACCAATGTATGTTGTCACTACCGCTACAATCATTTTTCTCCAGTCGTTTCACACTAAAATCTGAAAAGCCTCCATAGATGGTGGGAACGAATGGGAAACAGATGGCGTCAACAGACAATGTGATTATACATCTTTCCTAAAAGTCCAGTGTGCTATTGAAGCATAAAATAAAATGTAATTATGTAAGAATTTAAACGCTGGCAATGTACAAGATCAGTCTATTGTATAAACAAGATGTGTTAGTATGACTTAAATATACCAATTTAGATTTACCAATTTAGGTGAAAATAACATTTTTTTGTTAATTAAACCAGTAAACAGTTTTGACACTGAATGCCCACTTTTGTTATTCAAGAATGAAACCACATGGAATATTTTGCAATTCATCAACTCATACATATAAGGACCTAAATCAAGATTGCCCCAAAATCATTGACTGGATTCTGTAAAATCTACTTACTATTTTCATCAATTGGTTCCATGTCCCAAGGACTCATCTTCTCTACTTCACCAGTATCCCAACTAATACAGAATAATATTAAATATTATTAAACATCTGTCCACGTAACGCCATAAGTTACAACATGCTGTGATTTTGCGATATTTTATGGGGTATTTTTATCCTATCATATTAGGAAATGCGAATTCCAAATATGGAATGATTACGTGCGTAAATGTCCTCTAATAATAAAAACAAACATGGCTGCCACCAGAGTTTGACCGGACTCCACACAAAGAAATTCGCTCAATCTGTTCTAAACATTTTGGATTTTGGCATTCCCATGATGTATCCTTGGAAGGAAAAGATGTACCGTACTTATCCGGGTAAGAGCCCATGCCTGGACAAACGCCCACCCTCCACTTTTGACACAATAAAGAAGTTGAGGTCATATCTGGGCACACGCCCAGGGGGCTTTTTCTACACAAAAAAAAAAACGAAAAAAAATATTTTCTATTCGTTGACTGTGGTTGTATTAACTGTTGACTTTCTTGAAGTCTGTCATGATACTTATAAAATTGTTAATTGCGTAAAACAAGGGGTGAATGCAATATAGCTGTGACAGCTTTCTGTCTTCAGGGCAGCGCGTTCACAGCTGATTTTTTTTTCAGAATCATAACAGTCAGCAAGTTTATAAAAATATATATTAAAGCAGAAACGGTAGTTCTCTTTTTGAAATATGTCGTGGCCCTAAAATGTGTGCTTCCTTGGGAAGGATTCAAGCAAATCGTATAAGGAGAGCCGCTATTAAAGCAAGTGTCGCACTTGTTCGGCTTTCGCGCCGTCGACAATGAAAACAATGTTGCAATATTGTAGCAACCCGTACCTGGGAGAATGGTTGAAATCACGTTATTTTGGCTTTATAAATATTTTGTAGCAGCTTGCGAATCCATAACTGGGCCAGCAATTTTGCAATGTCACGCCGAAGACTGTCAACTTTTTTACCATCTTTTACACCGCTATTGCATTTCTGTCATGAAAACTATTCTTCAGTCATTGGATAAAAAAAACTTCCTATTTCAAGTCCACCGCGATATCTATGTAGTGAGACATTTCAACCGCCGGAACTTGCTGAATGATAACTTTCACCGTGATTAATAAGCGTCGAGTCTGATAAGAAAGCAATGTCACGATTTGACCTTTATGATGAAATACTAGTAGTGATGTCTTTCTTAGCCAATCAGTAAAGCAGATGCATAAAGGTCAAAGATCATTGCTACACTGTAAATAAAAGCATCGTGTGCCATCGCAGCAGAGCGACCCCATTTTTCTTGTCTCTTTATTATGATTAGCCATGAATGAAAAGTGCCAACCTGACAGACTGCAAAATCCGGAGATTAAAATTGCTAAGTCCAAATTGTGTGAGACGATATCGACGAACTTCAGGAATAAGTTGTAGGGATTTTGTTCGACGACTACAGTGACGCCGACTTGTACATTTGAGGGTTTTGAGTTTTACAAAGATGGCAAATGAACGTACAAATAAAGATCTGAGAAGTTTTTTCAAACAGCTATGAATTTTTATAATTTTTACTATGTAAATTTGTAAATTATTATTGATTCGTAATTTGTCGAGACCAGAAATCATTTTACGCAGTTTAACCCCTGACATTTTAATTCATTTTGAGTTCATGCGTATTGGGCGTGTTTGTCGGTGGGAAAATCCTAATTCAAATGATTCCTCACTGTCGATTTTTATTATTTCTGGTTTATTTGTCACATTATAAGCAATACATTATCTCCTGGCAAACGCCCACCCCTTCTTTTTGGCAATTTTCCATGTTCAAGACCCTGGGCTTATACCCAGATAATACCTCAAAGTATGCACTCAGACAGTACACCATCGCATCGACCTTCGCTGCGCGTCGGTCGATACTTCCGCTGTACTGTCTTCATGCATACTTTGAGTTGACCTCTTAAATAAATTCATATTACTATGAACTGAAAGCTACTATCACATAATTCCAGCATTTGATGAATTGTGATGTGATTTGACTTGTCAATTTTAATATTCGATTTTCCAATTGCAATATGACACCACACACAATCCAGTTCTACACTAACAGTGCTTTCACTCATCAGCTGGAGATCTCACTCATGACTTTACTCAACCTAACTGAAATATATAGCCACTATACAACACACCTGACATTAAAACACTGGAACATACTATCAGGATACTCTTCTTGAAACGGTTCTTGATTTGTTATTGAACCTAGCCACCAAGCATCATCAATCATAGCACGAAATCTATCACCTGGCTTCCAATTCCTGGCCATTGAAGTTTCATATGTCTGTCTTAACACCATGAAGTCCAACACATCAGCCATGTCATGATACCTGGGATTAATAATAGGACAGTAGCCAGTGATGCAAGAAGAAGATGTCCCATCAAATGTTTTACATAAATCCAAGCTGTACTTTATCACATGCACACACTACAGCCTGGGAAAGATGAAACAATAGATCAATGCTCGATGTTCATTGCTCGCTGTTTATATGACAACAATAAGTTTATTTCTTACTTGATACTAAACGAGCCTCCAGACTGAACACCAGTATCCGGATCAATAAAAGCTAATTTTAGGCAACATAATGTTGGTGGTCCCACTTGATATTTAATTCCAACTATTTTCACTAATTCCTGGTCCTGGAATGTGAGAAGAAAAGTACATGATCCACACACATACACACAATAACATTATTTGTAAGTTTGTTTTGATATGGCTGTAAGTAGCACTATAATACAGTGTTGTTTCATCCTGCTAAGATGACAGAATCAAATAAATGAGGTCAAAGTAAAGAGAAGAAATGTGTTAACTCCATATTGGATTTTGCAAAGGATTGTTGGATAGAAAATTGAACTATACAGGGTGTTTGGGGTGGGGGTGAGGGCTTCTCGCATCTTTTCTATACAGCCCTGTAAAGTGTAAACCACTGTATGGTTATGTTGTACTTTCCATTAATTTCAAAACACATTTCTCCCTTATAATTCAAGCAGATGTTGTTAAAATATTACTCTGAGTTGAGGGGCCTCACAAATCCAGCAGTAACTAAGGGTGTAATAATAAGTATATTGGGGGGTTTCACACATCCAGAATTAATTTAGTAATTGAGTGTTAGGGAGTCTCAAATACCTAGCAGTAACTGCAGGTGAGTTAATAATTGAGTGTTGAGGGGTCTTACAAACCCAGCAGTAACTAAGGGCGAGTTAATAATTGTGTGTTTAGAAGTCTAAAACAGTAACTTACCCTGAGTTTAAGTTTATGCCATGGTTGTTTTTTTGGGTTAATCTCGTATAATTTAGCATTCTTGACAGCATTCATGTAACATTCATGTCCTTGTCTGAAGTACAGAATCTCATCTCCCATCTGTGGTACCAAAGGTGACCTCCTAGGAATGGTGTCTGTGATCCACGCCGGCGGATAAAACTCGTCTGAAAGTTCCTGCACTTCTTCTCCTTTACCAGATTGCGCTGGTTTCTGTTGACATGAAGTTGCAAGTTGTTATTCACTTTTTTTTTATATTATGCTTTGATGGTAGTTGCATTCACAATTATCGTCAGATTCCATCAAATACACAAATTCATAACGGCTTTTTTTCAATAGATTAGAGAGTAAATTATCCATGATGGCATGGTGATAATGAAAATGCAAGGACGTTGTCATGGTTACCCTTGCCAATGCTGCTAATGATTTTTTAGGTTGTTGCCGTGGTGTTGATTGTTGTGGATTGCTGGTAGTAACAGTTGTGGTGTTACGTGAACTGCCAGAACCACTGTTTTGTTTCCTGTGTAAGCCCCGCATCACTACAGGTCCACCGCCACTCTAGTGAATGATAAAATATACGTAAGTCTTCACACACAGACTAACGAGAACCATAAATGGGACACAATGTATTTGTAGATTTCAAACTGAGGACTGGAGGAATCTATTGCAAATTTTACCAGAGAATTTTAACTAGAACAACTTTAGGAGGGTTTGATAATTGCAATAAACTGAATACTGTGTTGATATGTTTCTGAGGTCAACTTTAGAGAACACACCAATTTTAATTCATACATTGTAGGCAGTATACAGTGCTATGATAGATAATGTGTTTATGTCAGATGAGGCAAAAAACATGCGGCGCCCCCACTCGGCTCTCTATAGAAATGACGTGTCTGAAGCCAAATTTCCAGCTCGAAATTGCCTTTTTTATTTAAAAAATCTCTATAATCAGTTTACACAGGTTTCCTTAAATTATTTTCCAACCATTAAAACAGTTAAAAAGGAATTGATGGTCAGCCATGTCTGTTGGAGCAACATCATTTTCTGATGCCAAATTTTCAAGTGTTTTGGAGGTTGAAGGTTCTGATTCTTTTGTCCAACAGTTCTCAGTTGTGCCTCCAAACCTCACTTCGAAAACAACAAATCAGGGCACCCCAAATGTATTGCTAAGCAGCACAAGGAGAAAAAACACCACAGCCAACAACAGCATTTTTGAAAAGTAAATGTGCACCAGCCATGCATGCAACTTTTGGAGATTTCATAACAGGTAAAAATGACGTCGTGGAAAGCTTTTCTGGACGCAAAATGAGGGTGAACAAAGCTTGGTTTTAAAAAATGCACAATTATGAAGTATATAGGGTTGGAGCTGCATTGGTCATGTACTATGCATTGAGCTAGCTAGGTATACAGAGAATACAACTCTACATTGTGCATGGAGTTGTACAGACACTACTGAGAAAAACATAACATACATAATCCTGTTAAAAAATAGATCAAGAATAACAGAATTATTAATACATACAAAGTAATTAGATTTAATGGAAGACATAGATACCAATATAAAATATTTAATAGTTAATCTAAAGCATGAGAAAACAAAATTAATTATAATTAGGAAACTGTTAAATAATGTTTTTATGTAATCACATTCAAAGATTACAAATGTCAAATCCATTTTTTTCTCCAATTGAAAAAAAAAATTCTGCATCAATTGAATCTTTAGAGGCTATTAAAAGTGGAACGCAACTCAAAAGTAAATAAAAAATTAATCTTATTTTTTTATATTCATATTGACATTTCAAGGAATAAAAAATGTAGCATACAATTTTATTTGGTGACAGAAGAAAAATGTTTATAGATATTACAAAATGATTTTAGTGAGGTTTTAATGTCCAAATGTGTTTTTAGTGTAGTATACAGAAACCACTGCTAAATTGCTATTTTATGTGTATTATTTTGACAGAGAAAGGGCGAGGTTTGGTTCAGGTAATTGTTTGGAGAGAGGAATAGGTTAGGTTCAGGCGGTTGAGGATAGTGGGTATGAAAAGGGTTATTTGGGTTCAAGTGGTGGTTTGGAAAGGGTTATTTGGGTTCATATGGTGGGTTGGAGAGAGGGTAGTTGGGTTCATTCAGATGGCGAGTTGCAGTGGTGGAGAGAGGGTTGGATTTAAGAGGTGGGTTGTCATGAACTATGTTGGATTCAAGGTGGTGGATTGGAGAGTAAGATATACCCTAAGTGGTTTAAGTGGAGGGTAAAAATGAGGAATAGTTGGGTTCAGGTGGTGGGCCAGAGAATGGTGGATTAAGGGTTAGGTTGGGTTCAGATGGTGGATTGAAGTGTGAGCAAGAGGTAGGGATGGGATGGGATGGGATGAGATGAGATGAGATGTGGCCAGCAGAGTGCAGGCTTTATCTAATTGGTTGGTGTGGGATGGATAGTTGAAAGGTAACAAAGTGTACCCTCATATCAGGGCAATAATTTCCTGTTTCATGCCAGGTCAATGAAAACAAAAACGCTGCATTTAAGTTTTGTGTTTGAGGTCATGTTGTATAACATGTATGAAAAACCTTTATGAACTGGATAAGGCTTTTGCTACCCTGTTGTATGGCTTATGCACTTTAGCAAGCTTTGGGTGCTTCCGCTATACAACATCGGACTGCAAAATCTGTATCCAGTACAAAAAGATTAGTATAATACACATGAAATTCCCTTATTCAACATGTGTCAACTTGCGTCAACTGATGGTTCAATGATAAAACACTTGAATGATGAATCACTCAAAGTTTTAATGTGCTTACCGTTTTTCGTTTTGGTTTTGACTTTTGTTTCTTTTTCTGTTGTGATTTTGATGTTTCTGCTTCTGAACCAGAACTGGGTGCGGCACGTTTAGGTTTTCTATTTCTTTTTGGTGGTTGTAAATTGACACCCACATCTTCCGTCCAATCAGAGTACTCACTTGTAGAATCACTATTACTTGAAGAACTACTGTCCCACTCAACGCCTTCTTCGTCTGAACTATCAACACTTCCATTTTCTTCATTTTCCTGAAATACACATTTATGATAAAATTCCATTAGATGCAAATGTCTCAGAGTACAATGACAGGGGTTGGAACCTATGCAGCAAGTTATCAACAAATATTTATTAAAATTGCTGAAACTATATCAATTAAAAAGGTCAATCAACATTGCACAATTTGGTACTTTCTTCTGATGATTGATTCACTATGCTGCGTACTAAATACTGACCTCTTCATTAGATTCAGAGTCGTATCTGGCTCTCCTTGCTCTTACTGCTTCACCAACAGCTGTCCGCGTTCTGTATCCATGTGCTGGTTGCTTCCGCTTATTTTTCTTACGAGAGCTCCTATCACTTGAATCTGCAGAGTTGGTCTGTATGCAAATATAAATTGTACTGACTTAGTACTTACTAATTATCTTTGATCCAAAGCATGAAAGGATTCATCATAGACATGTTTCCTATGATGTATAATGTATATACCAAATTAGAAGATAAACTGACAAAGCATTCATAAAATTTTCAAAAAACAAAATGGCTGCCAGTCAGCCATCTTGGATTGAATCAGTAAACCACTGCATGTGCATATGTCCCAGATACAGTACGAGGTACATGCAAAGAATGAACAGATATGGTCCACAGGGTTCTGAAATATGACTCTGGACGAACGGAAGGTTGGACGGACACTGGATTATTAGTCCCCGTTTTAAACTTTGTTTCAACAGGAACTAAGAAAGTGACAGCCATTGAAGTCCCTTACAACAGACATAGCACTGATGTTGTTGGCATGCAAGTGGAAACAAGTCAAAAGTGATAGTGACATGCAGTTATAATAAAAGTTATATTTTAGATGTTGTACTTACTCTGTATAAGCCAAATGGCCCTGGACGTTTTTTCTTCTCACATTTGAACCTATGAAACTCCTCATCTCCAAATCGTATTCTTTTTTCATCATCAGTTCTAAACGAATAAATCATAATTATAGTGACTTTATTATTTATACATGGTTTATACAATTCACACAGCTTTACATTATCATGGCTATCAAGTCTAAGTATGTATACTACCACTGGTTACTGGGCGATAAAAAAACAACACTTCTAGTTACTGGACCATAAGATACACTACCCTGACAATCAGGCTACAAGATACACTACCCTGACGACCAGGCTACATGATACACTACCCTGACGACCAGGCTACAAGATACACTACCCTGACAACCAGGCTACAAGATACACTACCCTGACAACCAGGCTACAAGATACACTACCCTGACGACCAGGCTACAAGATACACTACCCTGACGCCCAGGCTACAAGATACACTACCCTGACGCCCAGGCTACAAGATGCACTACCCTGACGCCCAGGCTACAAGATACACTACCCTGACGCCCAGGCTACAAGATTAGCATTGAACCTATCTTCACCAGCCAAGGTTTATTCGATCATCACCTCAACACTACACCTTGATTCTATATAACCAACGCATGTTTAAATGCGCCACTGTTGACAATAAGATATTTTGTTTTCAATGCATTGTCTAATTAAGTCTCTTGTATCACGGACCAAATATATATATCTACAGTTGAAGATTTTCTTCCCAGCCAGAGACTGATCTATGCATTTTACCAAAGTAGAATATGCGACTTCTTGGTTGAAGCCTGCACAGGTTTTTGGGGAGTGTATGTTGATTCAGATAATGCATTTAACCAGGCATTTTTACCTCGATATTGCCGGATGTAATTCTGGAACAACAACTCTTCTACTCCAAGCAACTAAATCAGCTTGTGACGCCTGCTGACTGACAGGACCACCATGTGGTTGCCGAACACCTTCAATATCTCCCGCTCTTCTCAGTCCTACTCTCGGTGGTGGACTTAAAGGTTGTGCTGGCTGTTCTACATCTTGTTCTTGTTGCATTCTTTCAATCATCTGATCTAATACATTAGCAGCTTGGTTGTCTTCATTCATGTCTTGCTGTACATCAGCTACTTCACCTTGCAGTGGCTCACTGATCACTTCTTGCTCACCTGTAGAAACAAATCAATCAACAAATTAGCGCCCTCTATAGCCTACTCATCACATTCCTCAGATCCTGGCTGTACAAAACGATGCAGAATGATGACTCAATCCTCAGAGAGAACTATGATCTGAACATTAGGGTAGTTTGTATGTAGTTTTTGAAATGGGTTTTTAATTTCACCTTTTGTGATGCAAGTAAATCATATGTCAGATGCCACATAGTGATCAATTTTTTTTCTATTTTTTTGATCGGAACCACTGCTCCCCTGTCTTGTGTAACCATTGTATGGGAAACAGTGGAAGTGATTATTAAAGGTAATGAAAAACAATTTGGAGCAAAACAAGTTTTGTCGCCCTTTCACTCAATATGTCAATGAGCACTTGTGTTTTAGGTCCATTCTCAGTATCTTGAATATAGCACATATATTCTATTCTGTGGTGCATAAATTACAAAATTTCAAGACTGACACACATTTTATGTACTGCAATACAATATACTTTGTATCGTCCAGCCTCATAATGCGAAGAGAAACCTGATGAGTGACCAAACATTTTTTGTCCAGCCTTGTTCGGCCATATTTGGATAAATATATTCCTTTTATAAAATTCAGAAATTCAGAATTAAGCTGTTGTGTTGTGTGGCTCACCTTTAAAAACAGCAACAACTACATGTAGCTATCAGATACAAAAATACATTTAGGACAGAAATCTAACCACTGGGATGAAAACGACTGGCATTTTTTGTTTAAATCGCTCCTACATTGCAATACATAAATTGTAGTGAACACACTACACATGGTTGCACATGTTTGCATTTATGATACTGAAATTTACCAAGTGAGACAAACCAACCTTCTTCAGTGACTGCAATTTGCGGAACTAACTGTCCATCACTACAATTCTCCCGACCTGGAACTAATCTTTGATATTCAGGTGCATACGGATTACCGTCTACATCTACTAAGAATGGAGGAGGCATCAAATGCGGAGCTTGCTGTGTTTGTTCATCTAATACAAAGTTATTGGCATCACGTATCAATGGTCGGTAGTCAGTGTGGAAAAACTGCTCCGTAGGCACCTGGGTTCAAATAATATACAAAGTTAATGGCAGTTGTCATAGTAACATTTGAGCCAAACTCTACTGTATCTTTTGACCTTTAGTTATTTTAGTTTTTATTATTTAATTTTCCTTAATGTTTTTATTTTTTATTTTCACTCTGTATTGTAATATTTCATAGTTTACATGCTGATCATTGTTTTCATGAGGGTCTACTGTTGAATGAGCATACTTCTCAGATCACTCAGGATTAAAATAGGTTATTGCACAAAGATGCATTTCTAAGGATGTAATCAGGATATGACAATTGCATTCATTATAGTATCTAATGTGCTAAGAACAGTTGTTACATAAAGTGATATGAGTGTACAACTCGTTATACAATTTATTAAATTGATGGTTAAAGATTGACATGATTTTAGTTTCAGTTTCATACTATTAAAATACTACAATATTGTAAATGCATTTCTAAGGATGTAATCAGGATATGACAATTGCATTCATTATAGTATCTAATGTGCTAAGAACAGTTGTTACATAAAGTGATATGAGTGTACAACTAGTTATATAATTTATTAAGGATGCTGTACACCTTTTTTTGCTTTGAAACCCAAAATTCTACTTTTTTGTATTTTTCAATGCTGGACTACAAGGAGCAAACACTCAGTAGGAAAAAAAGTGAATTGGATGTTTTTATAGGGTGTAAAAATCAATTTTTGTTAATTAAAAACAAAAGCACATGTCATTGTTTTGAAAGCTATGTTTTAATTAATCAGCCAAAGACATAATAGACAGATAATTTGCATACTAGTCACCACCCATAGCAAATATAAACAGTCTTGCATTTAGTACAAGCTCAGACTAGTAATACAAGTATTAGTAGTCCGAGGTACAAGTTACACACATGCCATTTACGATCGTCCACAAATTTAATTTCGTTGAATTTCTCACTCTTCAAGCAGTCGACTATGAAACAGTCTTGAGGTCGACTATGACAGTGACGAAAGAAAACGAATGCAAGGAAATTTTGAGAAGAACATCGACAGTATGTAAAGTGATTATTATGAAAATTTAATCATGGAAGGTACCTTCCACGATTTAATTGATCAGACCATGGAGGTATAAACAGAAG